GTGAGGAAGCTGAGGTATTTATATTCCAACTCTTCTCAGTCATCAATTGAGGGCTGCTCCTGGGGGGTGACTTCCAAGGCATGACTGGCCTGCCCTACATCATGAAGCAGCCTTCTTTGGCTTTGGGAAAAACCCTCAGGCATATAAATGCAAATACTGACAGTTGGAAGTTCTTCAGGAGCACACTGAAGCCATAAGACCAGAGAGAGGTGGGTGGGGTCAGAATACTCTGTCACAAACTCTGGTGTTTGTAGGTGAGTTTGGCATCTCTTTGTTAGTTAATTGTACTTTAACTTTACTGCAAGATTTAACTTAAGGATTGAGAGACTCAAATTTTGAACTTTGGCAGGATTTGTTTTCTGATCAACTAATCTCATGTTTGGCTCTTAGATGTGGCTAATTTCAGAGGCCACAGGTCCTAGCCCATCTCCAGAGCGTGCCCTATGGCTGCCTCTATGTAGATCCTCTATATAGGGCTACCTACCTGCCAGAACCCCAACCACCTCCTCACGACAAGGGCCATATTCCCACCACGACCCGCAGCACCTCTAGTAGCTCTATCATCCCACATCCATATTAAATGGCATTTCTGCTCCTTCATACTATGGATGCTTCCAAGAGAGGAGCTAAGGCTGAGAAGAGCTGAAAATTTGAGCAATTAATTAATTTACTCAGTGCTCTAGAAATTCTTTGGAGAAACTGACACTCTTCACTGCATCAAGATTGGTCAGTGGGACTTGGTGAGGGAGGATCATAGAGGGCTGGATAGCAAAAAAAGAAGAGTGAGACAAAAGATGCCACAAGATCACGGGTGCTGGAAAAGCAGCTTTGCTCAGAGATGAGAAGAAGAGGGAAGCTGAAGGCAAGACAAGGAAAGCGAGGAGAATGCAACATGATCACAGAACAAGCAGCAAAAACAACAAAAAAGGTAAAGAACTCCCCTGGTCAAAAGAGTAGAACTAGTAGACGGAATGAGAAAGAGGAAGAGAGCTGAGGGAAGAGAGGAAAATGAATTAAAAATGGCTGTATTACATTGAACAAGAGGTGATGTCCTATAAAATATAGGATCAAACCATCCTACTATGTGTATTCAAAAAGAGATCAGTGAGAAGCAAAGGAGAATAGTCCAAGATCTGGTCCAGTGAGGGCTCTCCTAGTTCCAAGTAACAATAGAAAGCTATTGGAATAGTTTAAACATTTGCTATTCAGAGAGTGATCTGCAGATCAGCATTCCTGGGAGCTCATTGGGAATGCAGAATCGCAGGCCCCACCCCAGACATACCGAATCAGAATCTGCATCTTAACACAATCCCCAGTGATTTGTGAGCCCAGTAATATATGAGGAGCACTGGATTAAACAAAACATTAGAGGATGTCTCATCGACTCTGAGGACAGGTATCTAGCAAGACCTCAGGAACAAACTGAAACTGTCTACCTCCTGCCTCTGCTCCTATTTGTGTGTTTGCCTCCTACTCCTCCTCCGCTCCTTCATTCTCTCTCTCCAGACTGGATTTATCTGCTTTTAGGGCCATATAGAGAAAACAAGGCTGCTGAGCGCTCATACATTTGCACATTATCTCTTATGTCTCTTGTAGAAAAACTGTTTTCTTGGTCTCAGTAACAAAATTACGGGAGAATGTGCTTATTGAGCCAACTTGGGTCAGATGTCCTCCCTGGAGCCAATCAGCTGGGGGAAGGGAGTGGGATCCTGTGGTGGGAGCAAGGCAGCTCCCACTGTGGCCGTATGACTAGAGTTGAAGAATTGCACTGGCTGGATAATCCAATGGCTGCCCAGCTCCCACACGACAGATACTTCTCCAACCTCTGAACAGGGTCAGCATTGGTGCATCTGGGCAAGTTATGACTTTAAAGACAGCTACTCAGGCTCTCCTGGAGCTTATTTAAACAAAACAGTAAGCAATGCCACCCTTGTCCTGGGCCTAAAGGAGAGTGATCAGCAGTGCCTTCGTGAGGGTCTCTCAATAAAGGGTGTGCTATCCTCTGGTCACACTTTACTGAAAACTTAAAAGGCTTTCATAAGCCCAAGCTGCAGCAGAATTGACCCTGTCGTCTTCCTGAGAGAGAGAGAGGACTGTACCATTTTAGCATTTGTATTGGGTTCTGGAATGTCAGTTGACTATGAGTTAGCTGAACAGTTTGGGTGTTGTTGGGAAACTTTAATATTCAAACATGAATCTGATATGTTTGGGCTGAGCTTGCAAACTATCACCCTAGGGGTGAAGTGAGCATGATGATTCTATTTTTAAGCCAATAAATTCAGGCAAGCTGCTTATATGTTGTGATAGCATAGTGTATTGGTATTACGTATTGGTATTATCGCCCTTGGTGATGAGAAAACATAAACATCCCAGACCTGTGGAAAGAACTCCCACGGTAAAGATCCTCACAATATTGAAACAATGCTAAGGACACACTTCCACATCCAAAGAGCACATTCGTGCAAGAAGGGGTTGAAAATGTAAAGAGATTAGAGATTGGAGGGACTCATTAATATAGAAGTAGCAGACGGTTCTAGAATCCTGGAAATATCACCTCCTTGGCTATTGTGCTTAACATAATCATTTGAAATATGCCTAAATCAAGGTGTTTGAATAATCAGGGCAGGACTTGTAGGTGCTTTGGGCTTTGGCCAAAAAGAATCACAAACAAATTGCATATTTAAAAGAGGTTTTACAGAACAAGCATAAATAGTGTGTATAATATATAGAATTGTCCAGATTTGGTGACTGGACACAGATCACTTGGTGTCCAACTGACTTTTCCACGGCCTTTCAGTAGAAAATGGGACCCCCTCAAGATGAGAACAATAACATGACCTCTAATAATGTCAAATTCTAGTGCAGTGACAGCACCATCATCACGGACCTGCGGGACTTGTTGATGTCCATGGGAGGTGGAATTCTGAGTTGGCCAGTGGGATCTACGGCAATGAGACCAAAGAGGAAATAGATCAGGGCCCCTCCAGGGATGACATCTGCTTTTACTGTTGTGAAATAGCATAAAGAGTGTTGGATTCTAGATTGCTGGCTGAAAACTTCTCTCTATCCCCCCAGAGGGCTATTTAATGGTGATGGCAAACTTGTTGGGGGTGATGATGGAATTTAATCTTGAAACTCAAACAATAAATTCCTATCATAAAATTCAAGTGGACAAGTGAAGATCGAACTCTTGGGAATCAAATCTTCCAACTGCCAGGTTTCTCTTCTTTTAAATTGGTCATTGTGGATAAAATCAAAGTGGAGTTCATAGAGAAGGAAATTTGAATACTCAGTTACACTATGAGGAAAAGGTTGAATTTTGTTTAAAACTAAATGGAGGCATCTGTTTTGTTTAAATTAAGGGTCTGTAAGTACCAGCCAGGGACCGAGTTGACAGCCATTTCTGTAATAAAGTAATAAATCACGGGGATGGTTAAGGAAGCAAGAAACACTACATTCTTGCTTTGTTCAACCAATTAAGCAATAAGCCATCTGGGTCCTTTTGTTAATTACTGTCAAACATAACTTACACAACTGAATTCAGCCTTTTATTTAATTATATTAATTTATTCCAGCAACTTCAAACACCCACAATGGCAATAATAAAGTTCATTAAAAAAAAATAGAGGTCTTGTTTAATTTTTCTTTTTCAACCATTAATGCCTTTTACAAGGTTGCCATCTGAGAATTTTTAGTTCCATCTCAGCTACAGGATGTTAGGGGAATTTGTTTTAAATATAGACAAGTCTAAAGGAAGAAGATTGTGGCTAAAATCTCTTCTCTCAATGGGATGATGAATCTATCTAGATCAGTGCTATCCAATAGAACCATTTGCAATGATGGAATGTTCTATGTCTGTGCTTTCCAATACAACAGCCACTAGCCACAGGTGGCTATTGAGCACTTGAACTGTGGCCAGTACAACTGAGGAACTGAGTTTTAAATTTTCTTTAATTTTAATGCATTTACTTTTAGCCACACATGGCTACTGGCTACTAGCACAGATCTAGAGTGTGGTCTCAGGAAGGAAAAAAGCAGTGGGCCATTGACAAGCAAGTGGAGAAGGAATACATAAGTATGTTAGGTAGTGTTTGGAAGCCCTCACTTTCTACTTAGTTCTTCTCATTTGGAACACACTGTGTTCTGAGCCAGCCCAAAGGAGATCAGAATTTTTGAAGGGAGGTTTCTAAGCTGACCCTGTGGAAAGTGAACTCCATTTGGAAGAGAAATAGGCATGAATGGTCTCTTCTTAATAGCAGAACCAACCCCACTCAGCATCTCTTATGGCCAAACTATCTAGGCCAGGTCACAGCAGTCACAGCAAGGAGAGTCATTCAGCTCTCGTTAGTATTGGCTCTGCTCTGGTGGAGGTGTATTCTCCCACGGTTGTGAATGTTCAACCTGTGGGCACATTTAGGGGTCTCAGACAGTTCCTACAGGCTCAGAGATGGCCCTGGGAGCTCTCATGGACATTAACACCTATCTCTGGTTCCCCTCACAAGAATTTTGGCTCCGACACTGGCATTTCCCTTCCAGGGAGGTTTGCCTCTTTGCGACGGTTGCTATTTCTGATCCAGCTGATGCAAACCCTGTAACAGGGCATCAGAAGAGTTTCTCAACTGTATACACGTTTGTTAACGGGAATGCTCAGTCTGAGTGACCCTTCCAACACCAGTGACTGAAGAGAAATATATTGCATGAGAATCTGGTTGTGGTTAACCAAGCTAGAGAAGGGCTAGGGCAGGGTGAATGGAGGTAGAAAGTTCTTATTAACATGAAATTCTTATTAACATGAAAACATCTTATGCCAGGTCTGCTGACTCCTTTCAGCTGCTGGCTGATCTGGAGAATTGGGCTAAAGCTCTCTTCCATCTTCCCTTCAACCCTACTCTTCTCTCAGAAGCCTCCTTTTCTTCTTCTGAGCTATGGCTCAATCAATGAACATGAAATTTTTCCTAATAAGCCTAACCCAAAGTTTTTGGGATGTCAGGCCTCTATACCCTCTTCACACTTCAATTTTCATGGTTGGGTATGCAGACAATCCAAGGTAAGGCCATTGGAAATAAACTGATAGATTGGATTTATGTATCCTGAAGGCACTGCCATAGAATATCCAGGCCTCTTAGTCAGAGATTAAAGCAACTATTAAGTGGTCAATGGAAAAAAATGAAGAATCTTCTGTGCTATGTAATGATCATCTACCAGTGATGAAGACAATGAGACAATGAATCCGTTTTTTTTCTTTTTCTAAAACAGCCAGCAGTCAATGAAATAAGATGTGAGAAGGAGAGACTTTTCTATACTCGTTCATGGAGCTTTCTTCTCTACTATCACCAGGAGCACAAACACAACAGGGTCCACTTCATGAAATATACATGCTCTTTTAGTTCCCTTGGGGTTGAACCGCCATGGCCAAACTTCGCTTTTCCTCCTGATGCTGTCATTCATCGTTCATCCACAGTGTTGACTTTGTCAAATTGCCACAACTGGCTGGCTTTTCCGTCACACTGGCGCAAGTACAAATCTTTATTGTTTTCCTGCACCACGGCTTCCATGCATTTCCCAGAAAGAACGTGGACAATCATTCCATTCTGAAAAGAGAGAAGAAAACGAAAAAAAGAAAACCAGCCAGACCCCAGCAATTAGTCAGCAAAGAAATAGAAATATAATATAGATTATAAAGATTTCTAAGATTTGTGCTAATCATTAAACGAATAATAGAGGTGATGTGAACTGGCCTGGTAAGTAGTATTTTGGTTAATATAAAATATAATTTAGGTCATCCTAAAACTTAGGTATCATTCAGAGCCTCGGGGTCATTAATTTAATTATCTTTATTGTGGTTGTGTAGTTGTGCCATCTTTTCGAGAGTTCTTTTTTTTTTTAATTTTTATTATTTTTTTTATTTTTTATTTTTTTATTTTTTAAGATTTTATTTATTCATTTTTTTCCTCCCAAAGCCCCAGTAGATAGTTGTATGTCATAGGTTCACATCCTTCTAGTTGCTGTACGTGGGACTCGGCCTCGGGTTGGACGGAGAAGTGGTGCCTTGGGGCGTGCCCGGGATACGAACCCGGGCTGCCAGCATCAGAGCGTGCGCACTTAACCGCCAAGCCACGGAGCCGGCCCTTTTAGAGAGTTCTGACAAGGAGAATGCTAGTGTATAGAGCATATTCAGTCTTTATACTATATTGGTGACAGTCATTGTTATTGCTGTACTTGTAAAATTCTGCTTTTAAAAAGATTGAATTTAATTTCTGCCCTCTGTTAACCCAGCAATTTAGTACTATTGTCACCAGGTTGTAGTAGGATCCACCAAAGGGGAAAGTCAGTCATGTTTGGAAGACTATTGCTGCTTCCTGCTCAAAATCTACCAGAATTAATATTGAATCTAGCCATCCCCTTTTCAAGAAAAAATAAATTTCTTTATGAAAAGTTAAACAACCTTAACCAACAATGCTGATAATGTCCACTTAGAGATATATTTCACATACCATAATATTCGCTCTTTTAAACTATACAACTCAGTGGTTTTTAGTATATATACAAAGTATGCACAACCATCACCACTATCTAATTTCAGACATTTTCATTACTGTAAAAAGAAACCCACTATCCATTAGCAGTCACTTCCCATTCTTCCTTCCTTTCAGCCACTGGGAATCACTAATCTACTTTCTGTGTTTATGGATTTATCTATTCTTGACATTTCATATAGATGGAATCATATAATATATGGCCTTTTGTGACTGGTTTCTTTCACTTTGCATAATATTTTCAAGGTTCATCCATGCTGTAGCATAAAATAGTACCTAACTTCTTTTTTTTCCCTTTCTTTTTTTAATAGTGGTAAAAATACAGAACATAAAACTTACCATCTTAACCATTTTTAAGTGTAAAATTTAGTTGTATTAAGTATATTCACATTGTTGTGAAACAGATCTCCAGAACTTTTTCATCTTTCAAAATTGAAACTCTATACCCATTAAACAACAACTTGCCGTTCTCCCCTCCCCCCAGCCCCTGGTAACCACCATTCTACTTTCTGTTTGTATGAGTTTGACTACTATAGATACCTCACGTAAGTGTAATCATACAGGATTTGTCTTTTCGTCACTGGCTTATTTCACTTCGCACGGTGTCCTCAAAGTTCATTCATGTAGCAAATAAGAGGATTTCCTTCCTTTTTAAGGCTGAATAACATTCCATTGTATGTTTATGCCACATATTCTTTATGCATTCATCCATCATTGGACACTTGGGCTGCTTCCACCTCTTGGCTATTGTGAACAGAGCTGCTGTGAACAGTACCTCATTCATTTTATGGCTGAATGATAATACTTTTTTAAAGTCTTATTTTTTAATGCCTAAGAGATACTGGGTATATCTTAGTCACCAACATTTTACATATTATTTTTAAATGCTGTTTCTAAAATGTATCTTATCCAGAGGACTTGCTTAGAATGATCCTTTATGATCATTCATAAAGGACCTTAACTTGGCTTCTAAGACTTCTTTGAACATATGTGTGCCCCTGAGTCCTGGGTTCACTTGTTATCAAAGCTCCAAGAGCTGTGTTCTCAACTGTTTATTGCGAGTGCAGCTTAAGTTTCCCATTATGTGATGTTTTTCTTTCACAGCCTGCTTTAAGACTACCAATGCACAGAGTTCCACTTAGTTATTTTACCCTCTTTATTCCCAAGCAAAAATTGAAGAAAAGAAATAAAAAAAGATGTGTGTACTTATTTGTTTGCATATTTATACCCCAACTCATTTCAGAAAAGATTTGAAGACACTTACTGTTGATACTGTCACCTTCCTATCCCAGTCCTGTATGGGGGACCCGCTCACCCTCCCCAAGCACCTGCGTTCCTCATATTTCCTCTTTATTGATGCATAACCTCTGGAAAAGATCCAGAGCTTCTCTCTGGGGTCATAGGAATCAAAGTCTTACTGAAACGATGAAATGCTCACAGTGGAACTTGCAAAGGAAGAAGGAGATATCTATATCCACATCTCTTTCTGTGGCAGAGTGGGGGAGGGCTTTTCCATTGCTCCTAAAACTGCACCACTGAGGTGAATGACTGCTTCTGTAACATTCTCCGTGGTCCTCCTTGTGACCTTGAGCTAATAAACTTTAAAAAGAGGCCGCCTCCTCTCTCTGCCACAACCAAGGTCAGAGCTATTCAGAAACACGGCAAATTGGTACATTTCAAGATGCTGGTGGCCCAACTTTGCTGCAAGGTTGGCTTTACCTCCGCCCGAGGCCTTAGTGCCGTGTCATTAAGCTCAACGCAAAGGCACAGGCCCGTAAGGTAATACTTGACTTCTTGGAACAGCCTGGGACACAGTGCCAGGGACAGTGGCACTGTCAAGCCCTTCCTGAATGATTACTTACCTCCTGGAAGTCCCAGTGCTGCTGATGGATGGCGGGGCCTTCCTCCGTGCAGTTCTGAAGAATCACCTGCTCTTGCCTGACATCGAAGCACAGGTGCTGTGGGCTGCCAAAATGGATCTCCTTCCTGCCGGTGTGCTTCAGGTGCTGGAACAGAGACAATGGTTGTCAGCACAGCTAGGAGATGCTCCCCAATGCTGGAGATGAGGGAAAGAGAGCTCACAATAGGGCTGAGGTCTGGGGGTAATCTTCAGATTCTATGAGGTCAGCAGGACCATATCTCATAGTCAAGTCCACAAATATGATACTAGACTAGCCCTGGCCTCCGAAATCTCCACATTCCAGCTGCTTTTGCATTCATATTTGTATGTTCTGGCACGTTCCTCCATTATTCTGTTTACTGCATCGTAGGTGAGGCCATGGAGAATGCTCTGTGTTTTGTGAGTGTACCGCTAGAAGGGCAGATGAGGAATACTTCTGGGGCCCAAGCTGATCTCTTTCTGGAGAGAGCTGACCTGGCCCTGTAACTAATTTTCCTGCTGTCTGTTGTGTCTGCTGACTCTCGCTCATGGTTATCTCTTCCTCAGTATTTTATAGGACTGGATCGTGTGTGCCTTTGCAGGGGGATCACCTGTGGGGAGCCCGAGCAGCCTGGTTGGAGAGCACGTCCTGATAAAACCACTTTCCATTTGTTCCTGCCAAGTGCAGCCTGAACTAGTTTTTATGTTATTTTTTTGGATGTGAGACACAGTTGGCTTCATGAGCATGTGATCTGTACAGTCGCATGGGGCCTCCTGCTTAGAAGGATTTAATCTTCTTGCTTTCATATAGTTGGTTTCGTGCTCTACTGTTACTGTTTTGAAATTCTTAAAATCGTTGAATTATAGGCCCCACATTTTCATTTTGCACTGAGCCCCACAAATTAGGTAGCCAGTCCTGCTTTAGGACTCCCAGACCACACAGTTCATATAAATTTGAACCTAAACCAACAATAGATGGTTAAAAATTTTCAGGGGAGAGTAATTTTCTCCCACGCAAAGACCCTGTAGAGATAGACAAGCTTCCTTATCATCTTCCTGTGGCAGTGGGTGGATTTTTCTAGTCAAATCTTTCATAGGTAGGTTACTCTTTGCAAGTCAAAGCTGGCTTTACGTGGGAGTCTCATTTCCAATGGTCATCCCTCGGGGGCTCAAGGTGGGCTCCCATCGCTTACTCCTGCATGGATCCAATGCCTCTGGATTCCTGAGGTTGACAGTAACTGTCCCCTTGCCCAAGGCAGTGTAACTTGGCCCATGCCCTATGGCTCTATTTTCAGTTGCCTCTTGATTTTTGGCCCCTAGAGATTTCCCTTTGCTCTAAACTCTGTGGGTACTTGATGAAAGACGGTATTTCTTCTTATTTTTTTATATGGCATAACTAGGTGCTTTTAGGGGAAGGGCTTTCAGCTTATCTAGCTCACAGTTTTGCTGGCTATGAAAGTCCTTGCTAATCCCCTCCTCCCCACTAAGAATCAAAAAACCCCAAAAAGCTAACATTCTGTTTGCATGAGGGAGACTGCATTATCCACAGTTGCAGATGAGGAAGCCAGGACTTGGAGAGGTTCAGAAGCCTGCCTGATATCACACAGCTAGAAAGCACTGAGTTGTTTCCACCATGTTACACGGCTTCCTCACTTGGCACTTTACATCTATGTCCTCCTCCCCTGTGCCAGGTGTGAACGCCTGTTGGTGTGTTCTGGAAGATTGGTAAAGGTCAAAGCTGAAAAAGGCCAAATGGGTCCTGAGCATCTGCTTCCCCATGTGTCCTCCATGCCCACGGACTTCCCCCTGGATCCCAGGGCCTGCACTGCCAAGTGCAGCCTCGGCTGGTCCTCCTCAGTGCTGGACTCCAGATCCTGCAAGAGATGTTCTGGATTTTGCCCCCAGGCTCTTAGGGCCTCACCTGACTCATTTGATCAATATCTCCAGGAACTGACACTTTGTTGGTTGTGTTTAACAGAGGCCCTTGGGATATGATAGCTTAACACAAAGACCCCATCACAGGCTGAAAGGAGAGAGATTTGGGGGCAGGCTAGACTTTCTAGGTTATCATCCAAGCTGTGAAAAGAAGTGGACCCACCAACCCTCAGCCAGCATCACTGAGGCTTCTCACCACCTGGGAAGTTATTCTGTAATGGAAATTTTGAAAAGAAATACCCTAAGATATAAAGAGACCTCCCCGATGACCAAGGGGCCTGCATGGCTGCTGGAACGCCCCTGCTGCATCTAGGGCCTTCCCTTGACTTCTACCTTCTTCTCTCCTCAGACACTTGAGGCTGTTAAGTCTACCATTCCGGGGGGCTGCAGGAAGAGGCATGGTTCTACCCTTTGACTCTTTCCTTCAGCTGCTGGGGATTATGAGCCAGGGATTTTAGAGCCCCATGGACCCTAGGGGGCTTCAAGGGATCCATGAACCCCTTGATATTGTTAAAATTTTGTGTGATGCGTGTATATGTGTTTTTCTTGGGAAAGGGTCTTGAGAGTTCATCAACTTCCTAAAGGAAACAAGTAATCTGTAATAAAGAGTCTGACTCCAGGGCTGATGTGTGACCTCTGAGCTTCAAGCCCCACGCCTTTGCCTTCTCCTCTTGTCCCACTTCTGGGCGAACTCATGAGAAAGCCCTGGTATTTCCTTTCCGGTGGAGGGAAGTTCAAACCAGGTAAGCCCCAGCCTGAGCTTGGGAGCCCGCACCGGCCCACCCCTGACCACACAGGAGCCAAAGCCATCGCTCTTTCTTGTTCTCTCAGGCCAGCTGCAGGCCTGCTTGGCAGCCTGCCCTGCTTTCCCCCCAAAAGTCTCATTAAGTGGACAATAATGCTTCTCATTCTCTCTTGCTGCATGTGTGGAGTCATCAGTCTCAATATCGGTACCACATTTTGGGTCAGGAGCTGATCCTGCCCCGATAGGGCAACCTCAAAATAGCACCTAAAAGGGTTAAGAACTATGACCAGGGAATGGACAAGCTGCTAGACTGACCTATCCTTACTAGCTGTGGTGTTGATTTCAAATAGTCTATCCTGTGGGCCATATATACAATGAACAGGAACTCTGACTCAAGAAGGGGCCTCTCCCTGTGGGCAGAGTGCTTGCTGGTCATGTTCAGCGTCTCTCTTTGGCTGCCCTTTGGGCCATAAGCTTTTGTTGTCACCAGGGCAGCCCCATCTTTGTTGTGTACTGAGGGGTCCAGCCATGCTGCAGAATGGGGCCTCGGGCAAATGCGCGGAGTTCGTCTTCAGTGCTGTCTCTTGTTCCCTCCCCAAGCAAGTTATCAGAGCCCTCCTTTCTGGGGAGAGGATCCCACCAGCCCTGGCAGCCCAGTGGAGCTTAGGTGCTGTTTCCCTCCTCTCCCCAGGGGCATTTGTACTCTCTGCCTTCCTTCTGACTGTGGAGCGAAAGCCTTTCTCCCTGTGGAAGGAATTTCACAGACCAAATTGCTTTGTGCATGGGAAATGTTCTGAATGAGGCCAGTGCTCCAAACCTGGAGCCAATGACTCCACCTGTGTGTAAGCCCTCCTCTGGCAAGAGGAGCAGATGGTCCCCTGGAGCCATGAGCCATGAGCCTTTCTGCTCCAAATTCAGCCCTTCCTCTCCACTTAACACACACACACACACACACACATATGCACACACACACACTCATGTACACACACACAGACATAGACAGACACACACATACACCAAGCTCCTGTGGTGCCCTAAAGTTTCCACTCTGGGAGCTTCAGCTCCCATAGACCCCCATTAAATACCTGAAAGTCACAACACATCTACTGGGACGGGACTCAGCATCAGAGGACTTGAGACTTAAAGAGTATATCCCATTGCGTGGTCTGAGGCACCCCTGCATGGGGAACATTTCCTGGGCTCCCCTTGCTTCCTCAGTGCTTCTGTATCTACAGTGCACACTTGGGCAACCCACTTCCCATCTCTGGTTCTACTTGGCTGATGATCTCTGGCTGGTCCAGACGTTTCAAAATGGTGCCCTGGTGGAAATCCGCCTGCAAAGAGGTTTTCTTTGGTCTCTAATTATAGTTTTTTAAATTTAAATAGGGAGCTTTCCATAAACTGGATTTCCAGCATTTTTTAAAATTTTGGATGATCTCATAATATTGGATTTACTTTTATACAAACAAAAAACACTTTGCTGGGGCTGGGCAGGTGCAACTGTCCTCTCGGATGGGGCGTGTGCTCCTCAGGCACAGCAGCCTCCATCCAGCTCACTGTGCTCATTTCCTTTACCTGCCTGAACCCTGGAGACACCTGTGTCACAACTTCTGGGCAGCTACTCTCTGAGCCTCAGTCTCCTCATCTGTCAGATGAAGGCGTGGGCTAAACAGCCTCTCCACTTCCCTCAGGCTCAGATGCTCATATTCTCTGATGACATCTGTGTCTGCACTTGCAGCTAGGATGGGGTGGGCAGAGCTGGGTTGTGTCATCAGAGTGGGGGACCGTGGGCAGTCAAGGGACATGGGACCGCTGAAAGGAGATGCCCCACACGGAAGTGAGGGGCATCCCAGGAAAGATCGCTCTCAGGTCTTCCCTGGGCTGTAACCCTGAGAACTCTGACCACCCACCTGTTGCTGCCGGCTGTCACTGCAAGGAGCCAGCATCATGGCACAGCCCAGGATGTCCCCTTCTGCCTGGCAGTCTGCACAGAAGCCAAGTCCAGTGTTGTGGAGCTGAAAGTGGACACCCACACAGCAGTGAATCCCACCCTCCACTGTAAAGACGCTGTTGTCCTTCCCTCTCTGGAGTGTGGCTCAGGGTGCCAGGTTCAGGCCACAAAAATGAGCGAGGTCAAGCTGAAGGCACTGATCCTAAGGGACAGAACTGAAGGAGGCAGTCTGTACTTGTCGTGATGAAGGGCCCTGGGACAGGTTATGGGGCAATCCGGTCACCTCCCTCAGGGCGGGCATGGAAGCCTCCTAGGCCCCGCTGAGCTTGGGACAGGTTGGCCAGGGTCAGGGAACAGCATCTGAACACCCAGTTTCTGCCTGGCGAAGCTGCCCACCCCCTCCCCTTCCTCCTCATCTTCTCTGGGTCATGCCTTGCCTTTCCAGAGAACCTGGGCCTGCATTCAGATGGGTACAGCTCAGGGTAGATGTTGGCCAGAAACCAGTGGAACATCCGACAACCCAGTCTCCTTTGCAGCTGCAAGCGTTCTGTGCAGTCCGGCTTCTCAGCCTGGAAGAGGAGAAAGGCACAGGCAGTGAGTTGGAGCAAGGCTGCTTTATGCCAGAATTCATGTGGTGAGGGTGGGGGTGGGATAGAGGTGTCTGGGAAGAAGCTGAAGGATTGGGACAGAATGAGGGGACCAACACCACAGTTCCCCAGGGCTATAGACAGGCGGGAAGGTAATGTGTTGGGAGAAGAGGGTTTGGAAGGAACAGAGCAGGATGAGTCTTCCCTAGAGAGAGTTATGGAACCAGCAACATGGTAGCTGATGTCACTCCCTTCCCACAACCCTCACATCTTCAGTCTACAAAGACCGTGCTATCTGTGCTTTGATGGCTTTTCTGTGGAAACTGGCGCAATGGTGGGCTTTGCACCTAGGCTGGTGTGGTGCAGCACCATGATTGGCCTTATGGAGGCAGGAACTGAGCCAAGGGCAACTGAGGTGAAGTAAGCCAGGAAATGGGGGGTGGAGGTGGGGACAAGGCAAGTTTACCTTTCTTCCCCTCTAAGTGCCCAATTTCCTCTATTAACAAACCATTCCTTTGGGCTACACTATCCCCTTTCCTTGAGATTCTCCTTTATAATACAATATATGGGATAGATATCAAGGTAAGTCCTTAACACTTTAGTATAAATTTATGTGTTTAGTTGTATTAATAAGATACAAAGACCCCTACCCATAAATTTTGTACTAAATCCTGGAAATTTTTAGGGAAGAAAGAGGTGCTGAGAAGGGGTTGGAAGGACCAAAAACAAAGAAAGAGAGATAATTATTTCCTGGGATGATGGGGAGAGGAAAAGAGAGGGGCCTGGAATAGGAAGTTCATGTCAGAGTGATGGCCTCTAGTTTGGCAATTAGACACTGGCCCAACAGACTGTGTGAAGTGAGTTTGGTTTGATTCTGCTTTTCCCCTCTGTTAGTCCTCAGATGAAAATATTAGGAAGAGTAGGGTCTGAGTCTGCGATACTGAAATGCTCTCTACATGCTTCTCAAAGTGTGATCCCCTGAGCACCTGGCTCAGAAATGCCCAAGGAACTTGTTAAAATGCAGATTCCTGGGCCCTATCCCAGAGACTATGATTCAGTAAGTTGGGGTGGGGATCCTGGAATCTTCATTTTAACCATTTCCCCTGATGAGTCTATCCACAGAAACTTTGAGAACAACTCCAAGGCAGAATTTTTTTGTTTATTCAGCATATTTACCCACCATTAAACCAAAGAGATGGCTCACTCTTTCCTCTAAGAAAATTAGTATAAGTTTTTTGATAGTTTCTTGGCATTCTTAGTGTTCATTTGAGACCTCCCCAGCCACTCTCCAGGTCTGAACTTTGCTACCAAAGCGGAAACATTCCTTCATGCACGTTCCATCACCTTCACCTTTAGCAGTGATGAGACAAACTGGCAAGTCTACCCAGCCCTTGTTTGACCTCAGATGACAATGAACTTTCCCTTCTGTACAACCATGCCTGAGAGAGGAGAGAACAAGAGAACATCAACGCCTCCAGCAGTGAAACCCTGGCCTTGTCTTCTGGGTGCCCAGCATTTCTGTATCTCAAAATCCATGTGAGGGTTTTGGGGGTGGGGCAAGAAGGGGGATGGAAGGATAGAAATTATTAGAGTAAAATTAACTTTTAGCTATTTAAATTTAAAGTAAATGCATGCTATCAAACACCTTCAGAGAGGCAGTGATGTTGTTAAATCTTGACATCAAAGTAAGCAATAGGACATTTCCAAAACATGAAGTAATGAGAATGTTCAAAAGAAAAAAAGAGGTCAGAAAAAAATGGTCTTCTCATTTACCAGTAGGAGGTGCCCTTCTCCTTGTGAAAGTCATCAAATGAGCAGATAGGGACATTTGTGGATCAGGGAACGGACCACACCCAGCAGTGAGGGCTGGTGAGGGGCTCGTGGGAGCTGTTCCAGGACCATTGTGGGTCCTGAAAATCTTACCTTTGGAGCCCCCACTCGCAGCGCAGCAAGCATTAATGTGAACCCACGTCCCACATTCAATGTCCCAATTCACATTTATGTGTCACTGCATAAGAAGTAAGCTGGGTGGCAGCTGACCAGTTGAAAATGCACTGTTTGTGGACATTTTATTAAATGTTTAAAATTTTTATTTTTCTGTGGCTTGTTTTGGATCCTTTATGTTTATTTTAATATCTATGTTTATTTCACGTCTTGGATAATTTCACAGCCTTGAGCACTTTGTCAGGATGAAAGGGCCCTCTGAGACCTGTTTCATCTCTTGCTCCCCGCCCAATCTCTCCTCTGGCCCCATGGTGAAGGATCGCATCCCATAGATGTCAACTCACAGACATCAGAGGGTTCCAGGCTGAGACCAGCCATGACACCCCGTGGAGATGCTGGGAGAGACAGAGGACAGCCCTGCCAGGTAGAGGAGCCTCTTGAGAGAGGCAACTCAAGGGAAGCCCAAGCCAGAAGCTTCTATTTTCCCCTCCAGCCTGGAGGGAGAGGCACTCCTTGGCGCAGCCTCCAGCTGGTGGCCCTGTGACGGCTCTAGAAGCCCCTGCCGGGCTCTCTCCTTACCTTGCTCAAGGAGAAGGCCTCTGGGCTGTGCCTGTAGAAGGTTTCTTTGAACGAGCCCAGCCAGGTCTCGGCAATGCGAACCTTGTTCCGCAGGGTGGCCTCCTGGTCAAGGGGGGCATAGGCATCCTGATTTCGGTAGATGTGCCCCACCCGAGAGCAGGGAAGGATTTCAACGGAGCCACCACAGAGCCAGGCCTGCCATGAAGAGAAAATAAACACCTCTGCACTCCACTCCAAGAACGCGGGAAGTAAGGGACCCCGCGAGGGGCTGGCAACATGCACAGGAAATCATGAGCATAAATGGTAAAGATAATTCCAGTGCTCAGGGGGCAGCAAAGGTTCCAGATCCGGGAGTTCTGGGCAAGGGAGTGACACGGTGGGAAGAACAGGGGCTGTTGTCCTGGGGCGGAACTGGTGGGGTAAGGGGGCCACACCATGGAACTACCTGAACGTGGCCCCCTTGAAACAGATGCACAGTTAGCCCTTATAGAGATGTGGCCACGTGGATTAGCACCCCCATTCCCCACAGGGGCTTCCTTGGGGAAAAAGGTGTCCCCGTGGTCAGGGGATTTCTAAAGCTCGTGCAGTTTGCTGCTATGAAGGTACCAGAGCCATTTGTGTAGAGATCAAAGCAAGCTTTCCTTCAACACGGTCTTTCCTACTTCAGGAGGGTTCTCTGCTCTCCATATCCCTCCTGCCTTCTCCTAAATGCCTGGAATTCATTTGATGGGAAGACTGTCATTCCACACTTGGGGGTAAAGAGGAAAATGAAAACAGGAAATGAGAGTGGTGGTGTCCATCTGATTCCAAGGTTTGAGAAGTTGTGCAGTGCCCAACAAGTGCTAAATACTTATTAAGTTGTTTAGACCAGACTACTCAATACACAGAACTGTTTGGTATTTGTTTTGGCCTATGGGTGAACAGAGAAGGTACCGGAACCCCTGCACTAGGGGGTAGATGACTGATACTATGCCCTTTCCTACAGGCAGGTTTGATAGGTGAGTTCACGAGAGGGGCTGAGGGTAAAATCAAGATAGGACACAAGAGAGATGGGAAAGTGGAGGAAACAGGAGATTTGACACTCCGCATTTAATGACTTTATAATTTGCCCACAGCCTTACCCCTGACCGGTGGCATTTCTAATGCTGCCTCCAAGCTGTGACCACACACCACTCCAGAGAACCCCCTGGGTCCTCCCTTGGTCCAGGACGTACCTTGAGAGACAGTTCGAGGTTTTCGCCACCCCTCGGTGACATGAGAGGGTCATACGCTCCAGTGTTTTGGAAGTAATGTCTGTCCATGGCCACGACCCCGCCGGGCAGCACAGGGCTCCTGGGCAGACAGAAGACAGAACAGACTGCAGTCAGAACCTGGAGCACATCAGGGAGGCCCACCAGGGGGGAGCTCCGGTGGCTGAGAGTGGACTCTGGGCTCAGATAGACTGGAGCCAAGCAACCATGTCAAAAATCCCAGTGTTTTATAAAAAGAGAGCTGTGGGTGCCTGGACCTTTTATACTCCATCCCCAGGTACTGCTCCTGTAGGGAGGGCCACGGGGCCACTCCTGAGTCCCTCCAGGGAGACCTTCAGGAAGAAGACCTTGGTTAAAACAAGATATCCTAAGGCAGGTAGCACCAGGCTGGACAAAGGGAAACAGTCAGGCTCTGTCCTCCTCTTTCTTCCCACATACCGATGTGAGACTTTGGCAGATACCGCGTGGAGGGTGCAGGCTGCTGGTGGCCATGCATGCCAACCCCTGGCCAGAGGCCATGACCAGTGAAGGTACATCATGGGGCACACCGATGCAGGACAGCCTGAGCCCGAGTTGGGGCCCTCCCTCTCCACACTGCCCCCACAGAAGCCTGGAGCTCAAAGTCATCTTCAGGGAGACAGGGAAGGGGGACATGCCTGGATGATGGATTTAAGTATGAGATGACTAAGCTACCATGGAATTTGACTAGTTTGTCTGGAAGTTTTCTGCCATTCAGTGGAGAGAGGGATCAAGATAGAAATTACCTAAGTCTAGTTATTGCAAAATAAAGAGAATTATATTTTGCAAAGCTAAGCTTGTGCCTTATCAAATGTCTACTGTTAGAGTTACTCTAACTCTTGGGCAGACCGTTGGAAGGCCTGTTTGTGCCTAATTCCTTCGTTCCGTGTCCCTGTACTAGGCACTCAGGAACGACTTGGATGATTGGTTGGTGGTGGGTCGTATATGATGGAGGTCGACTACGGCAGATGGAGGTCAGCCGTCCAAAGATGGACACAACCAGATCCCTTATTCCAGAGGCTCTTATTCCAATGTGACATTGACATTGAGAGGCAGGGTCTATGTCTCCTACCCAGGAACTTGGGTGGGCCTGTGACTATGGTAGAGCTGACCCTACATGAGTCTGAGTCTTGGTTATAGAAGGGGATGCATACCTCTAAAACATTATGTAAGTGACAGAAGCCAGACACAAAAGGTCACATATTGTATGATTCCATTTATACGGAATATCCAGAATAGATCAGTCCATAGAAACAGAGGGTAGATTGGTGGTTGCCAGGGGCTGGGGGGAGGGGAGAATGGGAGACAGTGCTTAATGGGTACGGAAGTTTACCTTGGAGTCATGGAAATATTTGGAACTAGACAGAGGTGGTGTTTGTACAACATTGTGAATGCACTAAAGGCTACTGAATTGTTCACTTTTAAATGGTTAACTTTATGTTTTGTGAAGTTCACCTCGATAAATTATTTTTTTAAATGGAGAGGGGAATAGAGCTTGCTTTACCTGCCTCTCCTGGGATGCTTAGTCTCAGAACCCAGTGCCACAGTGTGGTCAGCCCCAACTAGCCATGCGCAGTGACCTCATGGAGAGAACAGGTGCAGTTCCCACCAAGGTCCCAGCTGATGGCCAGCATCAGTCTTCAGACAAGTGAACAAGCCTCTGGGGGATTCCAGCCCCCAGCTCTTGAGCCATTTCCTGGCATTCCGCTGAAGCCCTAAACACCATGGAGCAGAGACAACCAACCCTGATGCTCCCTTTCATAATTCATGACTCACAGAATCATGAGCTTAATAAAACTGTTGTGGTTTCACATCACTAAGTCTGGATGGTTTGTTATGCAGCAGATGATATCTAGAACATCTGCTTAAATAGAATAATTGTCTAAAAACCAAACACATCCAAAGATCAGACCAAACAACCAACCAATCAAAATAAAATTGGAAATATTTTGAGAGTTATGGTGTCTTAGCCTTCACCTGGCTGAATTCTTCCTTTTTCCCGAGGAAGTACGTGAGGCCAGGGAAATTCTAATGTTACCTGGTTAGACGGAGCTGGATCAAGGTCCCAGCTCAGGGTCTGTCACTGTCCCACACAGGGGCATCCATTGAAGCCACCTGGAAGAGCTTCGCTGGACTCCGTTAATATAACAATATGACAATAATAACACCTATAGCTGAGCGCCTGGCACTCTCTAAATGCTTTTCATACGTTAACTCATTCAATCTTCACAACAACCTTAGAAGGTAAGTACTGTTATTATCCCCAATTTACTGACGAGGAAACTGAGGCACAGATTAAGTAACTTGCTAGGAAACTAAGGGAGCCATATGGAGCCAGGATTAGACCCCGAGCTGCCGAGTCCATCTTGAGGAAGCAAAGGAAAAGCAGGCTGTGCGATGGAGCCTCACCTGATGGGGCTGATGGGGGACTGGAGCGCCTTCCTTTCATGCTCCGGCAAAGGCTCCCAGTGGAAAGCCAGCTTCCAGTCCAACCCCCCGCGCTGCAGGTCCTTGGAGGGGTAATACTGGAAAGTCTTCCAGTCAATCACATCTATGACTGGAGACACCACCCGGCTCCTGGAAAGAATTGTGGAATCAAGTAAGGGATATAAACCATTCACTTGCTGGGGGATAGAAACATAATCTACACACGTGCTGTCCCACATGGCAATCAATAGCCACATGTGGCTGCTGGGCACCTAAAATGTGGTCTGTCCAAATCGAGATGTGATATAAGGCTAAAATACATACTGGATTTATTTTGACAAGACTTAGTATGACAAAAAGATGTAAAAACCTCAATAATTTTATATTGAGTGCATGTTGCAATAATATTTTGCATATACTGGGTTTACTAAAATATATTATTAAAATTAATATGGGCACATGGTGTCTACAAGCAAACCAAAGTCCTGAGTCTATGTGGATTTTCTCATTTACTGATGCTGTTGGTGATTGTATTTTATCTCATTTTTTCTGCACAGCCTGGGAAATGACCTCAGAAAGGGTGATGTGGGAAATTGGTAAAGGTTGGAAACTTCACCTTTCTTTTTTTTTTTGGTGAGGAAGATTAGCCCTGAGCTAACATCTGTTGCCAATCCTCCTCTTTTTGATGAGGCAGATTGGCCCTGGGCTAATATCTGTGCCCATCTTCCTCTATTTTGCATGTGGGACGCCTGCCACAGCATGGCTTGATAAGCAGTGCATAGGTCCACACCTGGGATCTGAACCTGTGAGCCCCAGGCTGCCGAAGCAGAGTGCATGAACTTAACCACTATGCTACCAGGCCAGCCCCGGAAACTTCCCCTTTTAACTAAACAGGTAATCACTCAGGTGTTCCAGGAGCTGCTCTCCAATAGCCAATATCTCAATCACATTTTTTTCTTGCTTCTCAAGACTGTTACTTCTAGAATCTGTGCCATGGAATGGATCAGGCCTGAACTCGGGAGTGGCTGGAAGGTACCACTCTAAGAGAAGCACAATTCCTGGGAGGAGAGACGCCAGCCAGGCTATGTTTACACTCCTATCGATTTCCTTCTCTGTTTCTTTCATCCCGGAGCCAGCCAGGGCTGGCGTAAGCCTAGACCATACAGAGAGGGCCGGGGTGGTCCTGGGGTTCAATTATCTGCTTTAATCTGTGGCCTTAAGTGACTGACATTGGTGTGAGGAGTCATGGGGTTTATATTTAGAGTGAGGATCTTGATATGCTTTTCCTGCCTGTTTCACATTGTTCCCTCTGGAAGGGAAGGGCAACAATCCTTCTGGGTCTCTACCATTTTTGCGCACCTTGCCTTGACCTAAGAAAACTGAGAAGCAAGATCAAGGAAGAAACGAGGACACCCAGCCCCCTCCGAAGTCTCCACTTACTGTGGAATGAACTGAGCAGATGGGATGGATTTGGCTATTGGCAAAGCATTTTGTGGAATTTCAAAATTAAGAGCCAGGGAAGCCGTGTGGCTGAATTCTGAAGTCTCGTCAGATTTGTGCCATAACAGGACGAGAAAGGAAATTGCATTCGAGCCTCCACACAATCAAATCATCCTAGATCTCTGAGCTGCGTCCTTCCTGACAAAGGTGTGTGTACATTACTTTTTATCAGAAAACGAGAACTCTCAAATTCATCAAATTTCACTTTTTGCTCTGTCTTGCTGGAAGCTCAGAGTCATATGTAAAGCTCACCTCTAATAACTGTATTACCTCTGATTCCCAATGCCATCTTTTCCTTTCTGAAATCTCCTTTTCCTTCTACTTTAACCAGACACGTAGGTGATTAATCATGAGCCTCTTTGAGTATATTTTGGACAGAGATGAAGAATAAAATCTCAATGAACGAAGCAAGAGATGTTTTCTGTCTTGGTTTTTATTTCCATGGACCATAGCAGCTGCTTAACCAGGGCTGAACTAGGGAGTAACTGCAGTCTAGTGACTCAAAAAGAGTGATTGAAAAAATGACAAACAGTCTTATATTTAGCTTTGGGTTTCATACCTACACATGTGTCTGTGTTCTTGGAATTCACTTAAAGCAAAATAGCAAAGCTGCCCTGTTTGACTTGGAAGGAGCTAGAAGTGTCTGCTTACTCCATCATTCTCTCGCTTGCGAATTGGGTTTTAACTCGCAGGCAGATACGAGGTCGATCATCTCTTAAGCCTTTCTAAGCTAGAGGAGGTCAAATTGTTTGAGTTTCAAAAGACAAACAGTGGCAGTCAAGCTGTCAACAAAGACTGGTTAACTGAAATATGTGAGGTCAACCAATAAACTCCTGTCCAGACATTCAAAAGCTAACTGCATTTTCAACCTTACCAGCCCACTCTTTTACCGCAAGGAAGAATAAGCCCTAGTTTGTTTTAGCCCTCTTTGTTTTTCCTGGACCTAGATGTTTATCCAGGTCTTGGATGTGTAAAGTCGTTTTGGAAGTTGACGCAAATTCCCAGTGTTGTGGAAAGTTTCTTATACTGAGAAGCAGAAGACTCTGAATTCTCTCTTCCCAGAGCTCTTGCTGCTCAGGTGTGACCCCAGGACTGGTGCCAGCCCTTCCAGGACTCCGTCATGCTGAGGAGTGTGGAGTAGGATGGGGGCTGGAGAGTCTCCTTGGGGCATCAAACCCCTCTGCGGGCTGGGAGGCATCTTGATCCCCCTGCTGCTCCTCAACACACACACACACACACACACACTCAAATACACACACACTCAAATACACACACACATACTCACACACACTCACATGGGATTCCTCAGGCTGCCTTCAATCATTTGACCCCTGAAGGGCAAAGAGGTGGGAGGTGGTCTCTTCCTTGCCCCACCTTGCTTCTCCCCACTGAGCAGGCTCAGCCCTGGCTGAGCACTAGGTGGCCTTAAGAATGGGGGACCAGATCAATCCAAGTGGGAAACAGCTTGGGCAGCCTCTTGAGCCAGGATCACCCTTAAGATGGTGTTGCCTTTCAGCACTGTGCTAAGGGCATCCCTTTTCCCTTGGAAATCTTCATTTTTCTCAAGCCATGACTCTCATTCCTTGGCTTGGGGACTAGAGTAGAGCTGGCAATCAGCACAAGGCAATTGGCAGGTGGAATGACAGCTACTCTTGATTTTCACCTTTGTTACTTTATGTAGAAACCAGCCACCAATCACCACCTCCTAGGACTGTCCTAAAAACAATTGCTCTTAGAGAAACTCTGTCTGTTATGTGGGTTGTACACTGCCCAATCCTAAAGAATGCCTCAAATACTATAGACGTAAATTTGAATATTTATTTCTAACTTTTCTGGCAGTTAGCATTAAAGTGTCTTGTTCTAACAAAATGAGTATATTATGACAAATTTTCTGAGGAATGGGAGTAAAGGGTCATGAGGAAGGGACTCCTTTTATTGTCATACCAAGTTGCCATATGGCTCTCAGCAGACCCGTTCTGTGGGCAGGGGCAGGGAAACAGGGCCTAGTAACCAGGCCCTGGATTCTCTGACCAGGATGTTGAGGAAGTTATAACTCTGAAATAGTTGATGTATGGCTTGTTACACTGTTTACTCACCATTCCCACTCCATCTTTTTAAAGAAAGCTCTTAAAGGCCTTTCCTTGTTTTCTGGGCAATGCTCCTCACCTGGTGACAGAATGTCTCTTGCCATGAGCCTCAGAGGCAGCTTGGGCCCCTTTCCTCTCTCAAAGAGCAGCCGCTGTTAGGAGCTGTGCCCCATGGCTTCTACAGCTTTGCTTTACACCTGGTGAGCTGCCACGGGTAGCCCCGGGGAAACGCCTGAGCAAAATCACTGGGGGAGGAAAACGAACCTTGAAAGGGGATGCTCTCCCAGGCTGCAGCTCACAGGGCATCGCCGTGTGCAGCAGAGAGAGGAGAACTCAGACCTGGGAGAGGGAGCTTTTCTGTCAGACCCTCACCTGCGAAGGCCTGCACGCCGAACACTGAGGCCCAGAGAAAACAGAGTGCACAGGGAGCGGTGAGTGAGGTGTGGGATGACAAAAAGACAGTCAAGTCACAGAAGAGGGGGACGTAAAGAGGAAGCCAAGCCAGGGTGGGTCTAGGACCAGAGGCTGCGTGTGTGTGTGTGAGAGAGAGAGAGAGAATAAGAGGAAGAGGGTGTGTGCGGGAGAAAGCTTGATAAGCAGAGGAGAGGAAGAGCCCAGGAAATTGGAATTTCATGGACTCACCCTCTCTTAACTGTGGAAGGCTTCTCAGGAGCCCCGTTTTATTTATACCTGAGGACACTGAGGTATTGCCAAGTCTTTCTCAGCCTAGAGTGAGAAATCTCCAGATCTGTGAAAATGGCGCCAATGCGAGAAGCAGACATGAGGGACTCATTTTAATTAATGTTTTAACACAAGTCTCACAACCAGGGTGGGGGTGGTATGACTAAATATCTCTCCCTGATCAGCTTCTCCAATTCTTAAAAAAATTCATGTACAATCAAAAGAGCAGTGGACCCAGAGTCAGAACGCCTGACTCAGCTCTCTGTGTGCCCTTGCACAGCATTTTACCTCTCTGAGTCCCAATCTCAGTCTCTGTGAAACGGAAGCAAAAATACCAGCCTGAGGCATCTCACAGGGGGGGTCACTGAAGACAGTATGTGAAAAAAGTCTGTTAGGGTCATATATACATAAGGCTTAATAGTATTAATTACTGGGTTTTTAAATGTCTGCATGAAAGTACATAGAGAACAGCCCAGCCGTCAAGTGGCTGTGTGACTCTGAGGGGTCTCTCTGACGTTCCTGGAATTCAGGTTTTTTCAACAATGAAATCATGAGATAGGACTAGATGATCTTAAAGGTCCCTCTGAAAGCCATCTGGCTCTGATACCAAGATGGGAATTTGATGGGGAAGGGGCAGAACCAATTTTAGTTTCTGCTCTGATGATACACAGTTATTGAGATTTTGAGAACAAAATCCAAGATGGCAGCCTTGTAGGGTTTGTACATTTGCTTGTCCTGGTTCTGGTGCTGAATTTATCCATGTCTCCTTTTCTCATGAGATGTGAACCATGAGTGGGCAGTGATGTGTGTCATGGAATTGGGCAAAATTAATCCTTCTTGATTTCACTTGAGCTATGATTATTCTTCTGTATTAAAAAGAATCACTGGACTATTAATGATTTACTTGCTAACTCCTCTACCTTCTTGTACAGAAATTTTTTCTTGTAGGTGGTCATCCCCAACCTCAAATGAGACAGGCAACATTTACCGTGGCAAGGAATGCGAGAAGAGAAATCACAGGCTTGGTTCCTGTCTGGCTGGACATCATCAAAACAATCATTTATTGAGCTCCTACAGTGTGACAGGCCTCCACAAGCCTCAGGGGCATGCCTGAGGTGGTCCAAGGTGGGCTGGCCACCAGGTTTTGGTTTTCCTGAGTGGGATATTCAGACTGAAGGAAATGGTTGACAAGACATGTTTAGGAACTGTTTGAGTGGAGCAAAGAAGTAGGGGAGAGAATGACAGCAAGACAGGGAAAGGAGAACGGAGAAATGGTCAAAGAAAAATTCTAAGTGTTTGACTATGGGGTGTGTAATGCAACCCTCTCCAAGTTCACATTCCCAAGGGCTGGCCTTGGTTAGAAAGTTAGAGACCCCTAATATAAACCAGAAAACCAAAGAATGTTAGTTCTTGATGGAATTTTAGCAATCACAGAGTCTAATGCTTTCTTTTTATGGGAGAGTAATCTGTGGCCTAACAAAGTTTAGAGATTTTCCCCAGGTTATGTTACAATCTTGATTAAAATTGCTGATTTTTAATCAAAGGTAGTGACAACAATAGTAAGGTGTTACCCTTCTCAGGAATATTGGCAGCTTAATAGAAGCTGTTCTCTAGGCCTCAGTTTCTATATCTATAAAACAAGGTAGATGGCCTGGAAGACTCTAACTTCCTATACTTCTTAAAAGACTCAAACATCTGAAAAACCAAAAGGAATAAATCGCTCTCTAATGATGGAGACTTGTGCACTTTTTCAATGGTGGGCAGATGTTCTGTGAGTGGCTGAGGCGGTATTCTCTCATTCCCACCTCTTGCTCTACAGATCCCGGGGGTGAGTTACCTGTCACCAGCTATTCTGCTGAGGAGGGGCTCCAGCCAGCCCGGGTGGCACTCACAGTGGGAATCCATGAAGACCAGCACGTCCCCGGTGGCCCTGGTGGCCCCCAGCATCCGGGCCCTGATGGCGCCCAGCCTCTTGTTGCTCCTGAGCAACTTCACCCCCTCCAGCCTGGCCACGTATTCACTGAGAGCAGACTTGAGTTGTCCTGGAATCGACAGGGTTGTGGTCAGTTGGGTCACAGATGCCACAGCCAGTGAGATTGTGATGACCATCACTAGGATCATTGTCGGCAATTCTCTCTTGGGAGCTGTGGTGAGTACAAGGGTCCCGAGAACCACATACATCTTTATACTGTCTTTGTTGCTAAGATGTAAGTTGCTTCATTAGTTTGGGTCAGGATTCTCTCCATTAAAAACCAGGAGAGATGATGTCATAAAACCAGGAGAGGAGAGAATGTGCTGACCTTCTCTAGATGCAGTAGCGAGCTTGCAGCAGACCCTGTTGGCACCCTACTCAGGTGCCCGGGATCCCTTTGACAGCTTTGGTTTGGTTTACATGTCCCGGCTGCTGTGGGTTTGCTGCTGACTGCAGTTACATCCTTCCCTGGAGACGTGCCCTCAGTATTGGAACTGCCTCTCCTGAAAGTACCAGGGAGTCGTGCAGAATGCCGTCCCTGGCCCCAGGAGCCCAGAGTCCATGACCGACCTGCGTGGGTACAGAAGCCCGCTCCCTTGCCTTAGGCCAGGACAGACCGTGAGGGCAGTCTACACTGCAGAGCTCCCCACGGGGTCAGGCTGGGGCTGGGCTTCATCTGAAACCACACCTTCGTTCAGCTGCTTCCTCTGCCTCTCCTGCTTCCCCCGCTCCTCTGCAGGGTTCCCCTGAGAGTACAGCCCCCCAAAATCACATGCGCATGAATCTCCATCTCAGGATCTGATTCTAGAGTACTCCACCTAAGACAGTGGTCAAGGACGTCAAAGACAGAAGGGCCCATTAAATTTGGCAGCTGGTAGACCATGGGTGCTGGCCAAAGAGGCCCCATTGCAGTGGGAGGGGCAAGTGGGCAATGTAGTGGGTGGGAGGGAAAGTGCGTGGTGAAAAACTGAGACCAAGAGTCTAGCCACTTTTTTAGGAATGATGGTTCTGTAGGGGAAGGGAGAGAAAGAGCCTTAAGGAGGAGGCAATAAAGAATGAGAGAAGCTTCTTGAGTTTTGTGTTTAAGATAACTTTGTTGTGTGTGTATGTGTGTGTGCATGCACAGGTGTACACATAAGAGCACAAGCCGACGAGAACAAGCCAGTAGAGATGGAATAATGTGTTGGCGGAGAAGTAGTGTCCTCCATGAAGTCTTGGAAATGGGCAGCCCCCAGCCCACTGGACTAAGATCTCCTCAAGGGCAGGGATTGTCCTGCATGCATTTCTGTTGTTCCAACCCCTAGCACAGGGCTGGCCCACAGTAGCATGTGTGTTGAACAGAACTGAGCCACAAAGCAAGGATTTCCCCAGTTCTCCAGCCTGGAGGCTGTCTTGGCTGGGGTACACAGAGTCTGGCTGCTTTGATAGCTGGGTCTCCAGGGAAGTGGGGAAGGTTCAGGCAGCCTTACCCAAAGGCCCCACAGGCTCCCTGGGAAGCTGCCTTCTGAGTGGCATGTGGCTCCTCACGGAGATTCTTCTGCAGGGGAAACCGTCCTGAGCAGTGGACATAAGGACTCCCAGTCCCTTGGCTGCTGCATTTCTCAGTGGTAAAATGTTGTGCTGAGTTATTACTTTGGAATTATTTTTCTAGTAAGCTTGTTGGCTCCAAGTCTATTCCCTAGAGAAGGGCCTCTGTTAGTGAAGCTGTTAAAATTTCTGAACTTGAATGTCTGAGAACCAGCCCCTCACATCGGAGAACCAGCCCATTGGTGACTCCGCTGCATTGAGCATTGCTAGTTGTTTTTCCCAACATTCATTCGCCCCTTCCACCTTGCTAACAGAAACTTGATTTTGTTCAGGAAGCTAAAAGCTCTCACCTGCTAAGACTCCCTTGCTGCTAGTAGTAGTAGCCTTTTGATCCAACTCTGGTAGAAATATACTGGATGAGAAGATTCTGGAAAAACAACTGTTCTACTGATTTTTTTCTAAAAGGACAAACTTGGCTAGCCTCTGCCTATCTGCTTGTCATCCTTTTCCTGCCTGGAATGTAGATGTGATGCCTAGAGGTAGAGCAGCCTCATTGTGATTACAAGGCCAAAAGCCATGCTCCAAGTATAGCTAAGTGGAAAGCAGAAGGAGCTGAGGACATTGGAGGTAGCCCACATCCCTGGGACCCAGGTCCTCTGCTTCTACACACACAAGGAGAAGGGAAGTCTCCCAAGGGAAACTGACAACACAGTTCATCAGCTGATGGGGGAGGGACCACAAGTGGGCTCTGGGGAGGACTCTGCCCCAGCTGATGGTTTGGAGAGCCTCTGGGCACTTTCACCAGCCAACCCAGCCCAGCCCAGGACCTGCTCATTCATCCTGCCTAATACACAGTCAGATGTGCCTCAGTAACCCCACACACTCCTGGGGCCTCTAGCTAGTCTGACTCACTGCCATGGCCAGCCTGGGCAAATTCCCAACATGAAGACCTTAGGAAGAACTAACAGAGGCACCTGGTCGCTCCATCCTATCCTCTGTCATGCCCCTTAGAAAAGGGTTTTGCGGGGGCCGGCCCAGTGGCACAGCAGTTAAGTGCGTGCGCTCAGCTTTGGCTGCCCGGGGTTCGCAAGTTCGGATCTCGGCACGTACCAACGCACCGCTTGTCAAACCATGCTGTGGCGGCGTCCCATATAAAGCAGAGGAAGGTGGGCACAGGTGTTAGCCCAGGGCCACTGTTCCTCAGCAAAAAAAAAAAAAAAAAAGAGGACTGGGAATCGGATCTTAGCTCAGGGCTGATCTTCCTCACAAAAAAAAAAGAAAAGAAAAGCGTTTTGCGGACCTGAGCAAACGCTCAGCTTCCCTCGGTGCAGTCTGATCTTCCCACAAGGCCAGGAGGGGCCTCTGTGGCCGTTTAGTTGAGCCAGAGATATAGACCTCAGGCCCCAGCAAAAGACTAGAGCAGTGGTTCTCCAAGTGTGGTCCATGGACCAGCAGCATCAGCATCATCTGGGAGCTTATAAGAAATGCAAATTCCTGGGCCCAATCCCCGATGCAGAAGTTCTGGGGTGGGCTCAGCAATCAGTGTTTCACAAGCCTTCCAGGTGGTGGTTCTGACGCACTTTCCGGTTTGAGAACCTCTGACCTAGAAGCCAGGCAGTGATTTCTCTGTCTCTATTTTCTTTTAGGTACCCAGCCATGTAATGGGCTAGTTCCCAGGAGTGAGTTCCTTGTCAGTGGAGACATTCAAGAAGATTCTGCAGGTCTGGGCTCTGGGCCTGACTCTGCTGCACTTGGCATGACTCAGATCTGGTCAGTTCTCTTCTCTGGGCCTCAGTTTCCTCATCCGGAAAGTGAATGGGTTAGGCTACACAAGGATGATTTAACGACTAATGCACGTCAAGTGCTTCACCCAGCGTCTGGGAGCCAGGGAGCACTCACAGAATGGCCACTCCCTTGTGATTCTTGAGTGTCTTGGCGAGAAGCTATCGGACTATGGAGGTTGGGGCCTGGGGGAGATCCCCATGGGATCAGGCCAGGACCTTCGCAGTGCTTGGCTGCTCTGCCTTCTCTGTCCTCTTCCCCCACTTCCTTGCTGGTTGCCCCAGGGGCTCTTCACTAATGAGTTACCTGCACTGGAATTCTCATCGGAGGTCTGCTTCTGGGAACCTTGCCTAAACAGGTTCCAAACCCCGGTCTTTGCATGGGACCCCGCCTCCTCCCAGGGTCCAGGCCCACCCAAGGGAGCCTGGGAGAAGCCCGCAGCCACCTTGCTGGCTGAAGTCGTCCACCAGGATGATCTCCTTCAGGAGGGCCCTGGGCGCTGTGTTGAGGATGCTGTGCACAGTTCTCAGGAGGGTGGACCAGGCCTCGTCATGGAAACAGAGGATGACACTGGCTGTGGGCAGGCTGTCCCCAGGGTGCTGCTGCAGACACCTGAAGGAAGAGAACCAGGGAGCTGTGAGGAAGAGAAGGCCGCAGGAAGCATCTGCTATCCTCTAATTCACTCCCCAGGCCCTGGCTGGAGCTGCTCCTCCCAATGCAACAGTTCTTGCTGAGTTTTCTTAAAATTTCCACATAAAGAGAGCCCTTGACACCGCCACAGCAGTGTCTGTCTGCTTCCTCCCAGTCCTCAGATCCTAAGAGCTTCTTTACAAGAGCTTTATTCCATCCCTCTCTCCTAGCAGGTGAGAGGTGTTGCCACTGTTCTTAGCAGATGACTGTCCTACTCTGTAAAATGGAATGAATGACAATATTACCAATCTCACAGAGCTGCGTGAGGCTTACATAGGATGATGTACCTAGTAAGTGTCCTGTGAACACTAATTGTCTTCCGTTTAAGGGCAGGGACACTATTTTCTTTATTTTTTGAATTCCTACAAGTTAGCACAGCTCCTGGCATCTAATAAATGTTAATTATTATTATTATTATTGAAGAAGGGGCAAGGATTGAACACTTGTGACTGCCAACAACCTGCCAGACACTGTACTAGGCCCTTTACACACATTACTGCCTGTTTACCCTACAATAAGTCTGTGAGTTGGCCCTTCTTACCCCCATTTTACAGATGAGGAAACTCAGGCTCTGAAAGGAGGCAAGACGCATTGAAAGGCACACTGCTGGTAAGTGGCAGAGCTGCATATCATGCCCTTTCCACTTTGCTGGTTCATGGCTGGACAGACGGGGGTGTATGGTGTCACCTCTGCCGGGAGGCTGTCTGATTCCCTCCTCCTCCCCGGGTGTATTGGATGCTTTGTGTTTGCTTTGCATTGGGTCTGTTGAGCGTTGAGTTCACAGTGGAATGAATTATAATAACAACCCCAAACATGGAGCAGTGTGTGACTCACAATTGTTCACAAAGGCACTTTCCTAAAATGCATTTGCAAAGCACTTCTTTCTAGGTCGTAGCTGTTAAAACCCTGGCCTTCCTGAGAGGAGTATTTGCATTTGACTAAGGGTTGTCTGGAGGATCCCATACTTCCAACACATAGAGGCATCCATGATGGTGGCTCTGCAGGCAGAGTGACAACCAGACCGGCCCTGCCTGAGGGTAACGCCATCTGAGATGCTGTCAGCCCTCACTGCTCATTAGCTGAGTGTCCCTCTGCCTGGCAGAGTCCTGACCAAGCGGAAACTCTCAGTGTGCAGGAAACCTGCGTGTGACAGTCGGCTCAAAATCCTGTTTGTGGGGGCGGAGGGTGATTGATACTAGGTAAGTGCTTTAAGGTAACAGTAAAACAGAATTCATAGATAATTAAAAAACAACAACCAAATACATGACCATCTCATAAACTAGCTGTGCCAATTATTTTATTAGTTTTTGTATTTATACATTGTTTCTTTCCATAAAGGATTTGAAATCACTCACTAGAAATATGTACAATAAAATAATGGTGAAATAAAAATAAGAATGAAAAGTCAGAGGGAAATATAAGCAAGCATAGAAACAACATTTGAAGAAAGAACATAAATATATAGGCCATAAGGGCCTTGGTATTTCTAGAATGAATTTTAAATTTGACTCTGAGCTTCCTGGTAGCCAAAGTAAAATGGGGGATTTATTCTGCAACAGAACTGTCACCATCAGAGAAGTTGCATACTAGGTTTTTTAGGGAAAGCGATGCTCTTTCTAGCATTTTTTTTTCCCCTAAGATTTATTTCTTATTTTGAAATAGTTTAAGACTCACAAGGAGTTGCAAAAATAGTACAGAGAGTTCCTGTGTTATCTTCCCCCAGCTTCCCCCAGTGATAACGTCTTAGGTAACCATCCACAGTGATCAAAACCAGGAATTTAACATAGTTCATTACTATCAGCTCAGATACAGACCTTATTTGGATTTCACAAATTTTTACATCTAGCACTAATTTTTAAAGAAAATTCCTATGAACTTTAGAAAGAAGTCTCTAAATGGATGACAGTGTCCTTAGAAGCATCCCTAGGACAAATAAAAAAATGAACTTTTATAGTCTGATTTCAGGGCTGTTCAAATAACACGTCCAAAGTGGAACCAGTTCCCTGTAAGGTTTTGGGAAGATGACCGAGTCCCCCAGCGCATGCTGCAGTGTTTGCTGAGCTCTTTTACTCTTCCATCCTCCTCCTCCTCCTCCTCCTCCCCCCCCCCCTCTCCCCACGCCCTGGTGGACCTTTCCTCCAACAATCCACCCACCGGACTTGAAGAATTTCCACTCTGCCCTCAGAAGTGCTCTAGACCTTCTCACAAACAGGTTCAAAATTTCCTTTGTGTCCTCTCCATTTCCTTTGTGGTCGTGGGTATAGACAAATCTGGAAGTCCTAGGACTGGGGCCTCAGACGGCTATGAAAAGAAATCTTGCCTCAGTGAATTCAGTGGGTACCAAAAACCTAAAATATTACTTGGGCAATTGCCGGGAGGCTGACTGTTTTCCAACTCAGATAGGAGAGGAATTTGAGGACAAAGAGGCCTGCCTAGGGGATTCCCTCGGGTGCAATTTTATAGAGACCAAAGTCTGTCACCTCAGGGTAGAACAGGCAATGCCTTCCCGAAGGACTGGCCCCTTTATCTACCCCAATCCATAGAATATGAGGACCAGAAACAACACAGTGTGCGGTGAGTGTGTGTGCATGCGTACGTGTGTGTCTTTGTGTGTATGTTTGTCCTTGTAGTAGGTGGTCAAAAGAGTTTAGACTTTGGAATCAGACATATTTAGACTTGAATCTTCACTCTGCTGCCTCCTAAGTCTCCCTGGGTACTATACTCAATATTTATAAGCCTCAGTTTCCTCACTTGAAAAACAAGGATAATAACAATTACCTTTTCGGCTTGTTGTGAGAACCTAAGAATAATTATAGGCACTCAATAGACAGTTGCTATTTTATTGCTGTCTTGGAAAAAGATAAGATGTAATTAGCATGTGTATCATCTTTGTAAAATATAGCTATCTTAAAACAGCCACTCTACAGTATTGCATAAGACGCCTCCTGAATTACTTCCGGAAGTTTGATTTTCCTCATCTGCATATTCGGAATGCCAACAGCACCCACTCAAAGCTTTTGCAAGGGACCAGCACCTAGCACAGTACCTGGCACATAGAAGGGACTCCATAATGAAAGAGATTCTTATTGAAACTCTAGCTCTTTAAGACCACACTCCTTGCAGATTCCTCAAAATCAGGAGACAGGAGAGCTTCCTGCTCTGCTACGTAGCTGGTGACCCAGGGCAATGGACTTCCTCTCTTTGGCCTCATGGAACATTCTCTGCAGAGCGGCAGTCTAGCCTGATGATTCAGGCCATGGGTGCTGGAGCTCCGCCACTTCCTAGCTGTGTAAGTGATCCTGGGCAAGTTGCTTAGATACTTGGGGCCTTGGTCTCCTCAGGATGGTAATACTTTGTAGGGCTGCTGTGAAGATGACATGGCCTTCCTAAAGCACTAAGGACAGTGGCCAGCACAGAATAAGCACCGTACAAGCATTTGCCGCCATCATTAGAAGAGGTACCGTTACTACATGATGGATCGCTAAGGCTCTTCCAGCCTTGAAATTCTGTGTTCTTGACCCTTTGGGTCCCTCTTCAGGTAGGAGAGAGGAAAGTGAAGAGGTAAAACCAGAGAAGCAGGGGTTTCAAAGAGAATTTTGTAAGACTCCCCTTCTCTCTGTCCAGCATCTTGCTCCAGGATTTTCTAGGTTTTGTGGAGAGAGAGAACCGTGCTCTCTCTTCACGGAGAGAGGGTGGAGAACTGAAGAATGGGCAAGGAGTGTGACTGGAAAAACCTATTCGTTGCTAGGGCTTTTGAAAGGCCAAGTGGGCTTTTGAAAGCTATTATGAGGCTGAGGGAGACGCTTCGCTGAGGTGCAGAAGTGGATGTCCTGGCATCAGCTCAGAAGGGACCCTTCACCCACTCCATGGGAAGAAGCTCTCACAGCCTTCAAGACAAAAACAGACAGCTTTGGGGCATGTCTTCGGGCAGCTGCAAAACTGATGGGAGACAAGAGCTGAAAATAACCATGGAAATAATCTGGTGTTCCAGGGGAGGACAAGCGTGGGCTCTGAGTGAATCCTGTGGTGTGTGAGAAGGCCCAACACCCTCAACACAACTCTGGAGCACAGCACTAAATATTATAAACAGAAGTTTGGCAAGCCCTGTGTCTCAGGCCTGTTAGATGTTTTTCAGAGGAGCCAGGGATTAGCTGTTTCTGGTGGATAGAATGACCAGAAGGAGGGGCCTGTGGATGGTGCAGGCTGTGAGCCCCCAGACACCAGTGGAAGGAAGGTATACCAAATATATGCATGGACTTACAGGATTCCATGGTCATCACCAGGGATGAGCTGTGTCAGCACGTGGGCAGCACTGAGCCTTGTGAGGATAGGCAAAAGGGATGAGCCCTCTCTACACCCGTGGGCCCAGGTCATAGCATGGAGTGGAGAAGGAGGGTGTGACACGCGATGCCCCAAGGGCAGCCCAAATGCAACTCCATCCACCTTGCTCAAAAACTGTGTCAGTTTAGGGCATCTTAGGAAGAGTCTATATGTCAAGTGGAAAGAGATCAAGCCTTGTCATTGAGTTTAAATTCTGGTTCTGTCCTTATCTGACCTGGGCAAGTGACATAAGCTGTCTGATAACCATCCTTCCTTGCAACGATTTTCAGATCCACAGACCCAGTTACATCTAGAGTAATCAATTCTTATTTTTTCAATCTTTGTGATTCCAATGAGTACTTTTTGTGTGTGTGTGTGAGGGAGATCAGCCCTGAGCTAACATCCGTGCTAATCGTCCTCTTTTTGCCGAGGAAGACCGACTCTGAGCTAACATCTATTGCCAATCCTCCTCCGTTTTTTTTCTTCCCCAAAGCCCCAGTAGATAGTTGTATGTCACAGTTGCACATCCTTCTAATTGCTATATGTGGGACGCGGCCTCAGCATGGCCGGAGAAGCGGTGCGTCGGTGCGCGCCCGGGATCC